TACTAGGCAAATATGAGTGAGATTGGTTTTAACACTTTAGTAAGATTATCATGATCGGATTTGTGGTAGCAAAACGGCATTTGTACTCACTTAGAATGCAGAGAAAACTCCGTCTTCACTAAAACGATGTTACTAATATACTTAAACATTGAAGTATGACAAGATTTCGGTGCAAAACTTATAACTAACACCTCTGGAATGGACGTAATTTACATTGAATGACCAAAGTTCATAAATGAGTATATCTATATTTTATACATATGTATACAAAGTACTATTTTGGAATGCCCATAGATGAATAACTCAATTAAAATGATGAACTTAATCAGTAAGCAAAGTCTGTCAAAGTATGAGAATATCTGAAGAATAATATTTTTATTTTTATTTAATATTTTTTTTTATTATATTGTGTTCGCACTAAGGTCTTAAATATAATGTTTTGCTAATTAAAAATTTTATGTACGATGACAATGAATACAATTTGAGTAGAAATAACCTTAAAAGGGAACTTTCTAAAAAAGTGTTTCAATTATTTATTTATTGATTTTGTCCATGGTTCAAATTTGACTGGATTCAATTCATAACGTTACTTGTAGTGCAACCATTTCATAGGGATAATTAATCTAAAAGTATTTTTAAAGATAACAGATAATAGGTATTTAGTGATACTCAAAACAGCTATATGGTTAGCCCAAGAACTCGCTTGATTAAAATATTTCTTCATAATTTCTTTTAATATGGACATTTTTTCTCAGTGTAAAAGTCTATCTCAAGCAATGACGACTGCTCTAATATGTGGAGGTGAACGACGCACACCTTAACATAATTTGCAAAATGTCAAAGAAAATGTATATACATATATTCATTAACTATCTTTACATCGAGAATTAAAATTATTTATTCCATTTACATATTCATATTTTTAAAGATTAAAGTTTTAGCAAAAACACTAGGTGTGCGGAGTAGCTGACCGCACATTTATACGTTGCAAGTGCGTCCGATTTTGTTTAATCACTGCATAGACATGTATGGTTTTGATTACAGACGACACTTTTGTTTGAAAAAAGTTGGTTTGATGTTATGAGAAGTTGTGTTTATTCCAGATTGATATAATACTAAACTTATATATCATTTTTGATTTCAACAGTACATGTAAAAACAACATTGTAGAAAAGCTGCACACATTTTCAGAAAGGCACGCATCGTCACTGATCTCAAGCTACTTATAATTGAAGTCTCTAGCCTTTTTATCTTAAAATGTTGAACTTGATAGAATGTAATGAATGGAGAGATATCGTTGATATTTTATTTGATAATGTCGAGTTAATATTTGAGTTGAAATATGAAAATTATTTCTAACCTTGCTCTTCTTCTTTTGATTGAGAAGAATGACAGATAGTTTAGGAACATAAGTCGCTGTAGATATTTAAAAATTTTCTAAGAAAGGGGTTTCAGAGAAGATGTAAATGAATGCTATTATTATATGGATAAATCAATTATATAAAATTGATAAAATTGATGTTTAAATCAACTGCATAAATGCACTTGCTTCTTCAGTTTCCTGCAATATTGTATATTATTTAATTATTTGCAAGGGCCATGACGTACAGACATTGCATATTATACAGAGAATTGCATGACAGTCGAAATTTCTCTATTTCTCTCATTCTCAACTTTATGTTTGCTGTGACTATGACTCCCTGAATGTCATGCTTTTAAGCAATTCGATCGATTCGATCTTTTCTATTTTGCACAATTTTAACAAAATAAGAATTTTTATTATTTATCTTGCTCTGTATTAACTACTCAGTGAATTTTTTTTATTGTATCTGATTCTATACGCCCCCAAAAAACTGTTTAGTTAATATTGAAATATTTTTTGCTAAATTTTATTAACACTTACCACCCATCCTTCTGTGCATAAGCAAATGAAATCATTGAATTGATCATAGCAGGAGCCACCATTTTTACATGGAATCGTATTATTGACAGTGCACTCATCTATTCTAGCGTCTCTTTCGATCGATTC